CGCATACATACATTGAAAACAAAACAGAATTGAAGAACATAACAACAAAGAATAATGTAGAATATCTTCAAAAATACCCATTTAAATTACATGCTGTAAAATCGAGAAGACGAATTCTTTTTTTTCTCATTTGTGATAAACACAAGTTTGTTTTAAAATCGACGAGGAAGACTTAGGGCAGCTATTTTTTTAATATTTGTCTAGTTTTGGTGTAGTTTTTGTTTAATATTTGCCATGTTACTTATTTATACGTTCCCTTAATAAATAAATATACAACAAAGAAAAGAAAAAAATAAACAAAAACAACAAAACTAATCTGCTGGTGTTGCTGTGCAGGGCCAACAGGTCGCTGTCTCAGCCACGGAACAGATAAATAAGGTCTCAGCTATGCTACTGTGGTAGTACTTTCGCGATCCCACAGCAGCGCTGATTTTCAGCCAGCGCCTGTAGTGATGATGACCAAAAATTTACTAACTCGAGCTCCTCCGAGCTTCGGAAGGCACATTATGTCCATCTGCAGTCGTTAGCTACCCACCAATCCGAACTGGGACCGTATGAATTTAAATAGAGTCCAGTCGCGGCAGAAAAATGATCGCTCTATCCTCCCTCACGTTGCCTGTACCCAATACCCTACCCCGTGGAACGAAACCTTGACTACCAACAGAAATTCACGACTGACAACAAATTGTTGTTAAAATCAAGAGTAAGTTTAGGTCATTGAATATTTTCGAAGATGAAGGGAGACCCTTCTGGATACTTTCTCTTTTGTGATAAACACATGTTTGTTTTAATTTTAAGGCATATTTGCCATCAGGGCCGCGGTGGCATAATGGTCAATGCAGTCGTTCAGATAGCGAAGAGTGCGGGTTCGAGTCTGCCTGGTTTGTTGTTGTTTTTTAGATTTAAATGTCTTAAGATATATACATCTGGCAGTTAATTTATCAAACAATAAAAATTTACCATATTTATTAATCAAGCAGCCTTACTTATTAGAGTTTGCGTTTTATTTTATTTTTTATTCCGAAACTCAGCCGTTAATTTTCATAACACAATCAGAACAAAACTTCATTCAATAAATCTTAAGCTAATTAGAGAGCTTCAGGACATGCCTATTATTACAAAATATTTATTAGTATTAAATATGTTTAAGGGGCAAAAATTATAATCCGCTTCATACTGTGTAATCTAGCTTTAATACTGTGAGTAGAGGAGGTGGGATGTTAGTATGAAATTAAATTATACATTATCATCATCATCATCATCATATCAGCCGTACGACGCCCACTGCTGGACATAGGCCTCCCCCAAGGATCTCCACAACGATCGGTCCTGCGCTGCCCGCATCCAGCGTCCTTGAGCGTCGTCCGGCACGCGGTCGCCATTCGAGAACCTTTCCGCCCAACGGCCATATAAGTAATAAATTATCATAATAATATTAATAATTGGTGTCTTTATAAGACGAACAACATTTTCTGACTAGAATTTTCTGGTTATTTTAAATTAGAACTAAAAACCTTGAAAGACTATGCACAAACTCATAATTTTGTGTCGTAACTAGTGTTGCCAGGTCCGATTTGTTTTAAATCGGTACATGAGGTCAATAAAATCGGGACTTAGGGTTGCAGATTATGACAGTAGATAAACAAAAACAAGGTTTTTTTTTAAGTCTGGGTTTAATTTATTGCGTTTTTAACTAATAGTGCAAGTAAAGTATTATATTAAAAACCTAAATTTAATTTTTTGATTAATCGGGACACTTAGCGTCCCGATCAGGTACAAATCGGGACGCGTCCTCAGACCACTGAAAATCGGGACTGCCCGCGCAAATCAGTACACCTGGCAACACTAGTCGTAACTCATACAGAAATAAAACACATCAACTACTCAACTTAGATATTTATTTACAGAGTTGTATCGATTTAAGTTTTGCAAGTCATAAGTTGGTGTGAATGTTTGCGTAAAAATAGGATTTACGGGAGTGTTGCTGTTAAAATTCGCATTAAAGTTATAATTAGGTTTGACTGGTTGTGGCGGATGTGTAAATTGTTCGTTCGCTAAGGAACCATGGAATCTTTCTATAGCAGGATAGGAATTCAAGCGAAGGAACTGGTTCGTCAAATCTTCTACGCTGGAACGAGGTGTTTGGTGTATTTTTTGTTGGTTTCCGAAATGTTCGCTCGATAACGCTGGAACTGAGCCCTGGAATCTTTCCTTAGCAGGATAAGAATTTAAACGGATGTACATGTTCGTCAATTCTTCTATGTTGAAATGAGGAGTTTGTGGAGTTTGCTGGTTTCTGAATAACTGATCCGGTGTCTGATGGTTTCTGAAAGCCTGATCCGGAGTTTGCTGGTTTCTGAAAGACTGATCCGGAGTTTGCTGATTTCTAAAAGACTGATCCTGACTCGGGTAATTTATTACTGGTCGTTTCGGTAAATACGGCTGGAACACAGGTTTGTTATATGACATGTTCGGTTGAGACAACAGTAGTGGCTTTTCTGAAACAAAACAGAATTCTGATAAGGGATATACAGGATGTTACAAAAATACAAATAAAGCTTGAAGGGCGTCATATAAGGAGTCTTCTCTAATTTTATTAAAATTTATGCATGAAGTTTTAACTTTTTATAAAAACAGTTATTTTAATGATTAATAAAAATATCGATCATTTTAAGACACGTCACTAGTTCGAGGATCATTAAAAATAACTGTTTTTATGTAAAGTTAAAATTTCATGCAAATATTTTAAAGAAAATTAGAGAGGACTCCTTTTATAATATACTCCAACGCCCTTCAAGATTTATTTGTATTTTTGTAACATCCTGTATGTAAAATTTGGAATTATGACCTTCAAAATTCTTTGGAACTTATAATCTTAACTGAACTGATTGATTAACCAGCCTCTTTATCATCATCAGAAATACCAATTCAAATGCTTAGGTTTAAACATCGATAGAATCAAAGGAATAACGGTATCAGAGAAATAATAATCTATAATCAAGTCAAGTGCTTCCTGATGAGTGCTAGCCACTAGTGGTAATGCTTCCCGAATTTTCGCCAAAACCAAAAAGGTAACAGTTTTTGACAGGTCGAGCTAATAAACACCGAGCTATTTACTGATCCACTACTGCTTTGTTATAACCTCACTAAGATACATGTCTTGAAAACATCGATGAAGATGCAATTTTCTCCTCAGTTACACACTGTAAAAGTTAAAACAGCGAATAGGGCTACAGATCAAATCAGCATCCCAAACCATTGTAAATGTCGCATAATCTTTTACAATCTCAACACGCGGACGAATCACTGTCCTACAAAGACAGCCAAGCCTTTATTAAGCAGCAATACATACTGTGTTCCTACGTTGTCTGTACATAAAATGTTTCAAACTCGTGTTCATGAAATATATTTTTATCTTGTTAATAAACATAAAAATAGTAAAGGATACTTTCAAAATATCAAATGAAACACGAGTTTGATTCATGCTATCACACTGATTTATTTTAATTGGAAAAATCAAATGTTATTAAAACAGATTCTCGGAGGTTTAACAAACTAACAAGATAGACTATTCTAAAGAAACACCTCGAGAGTTCCTTTACATACCCGGAGGTTTTAAATTCACTTCACGCTGAATGTTTGGGTTTGGGATCGCCAAGATGCCAATCTTCAAGTCTCGCTCTTCTACTGATCTAGCTTTGGTATCCACAACCTCTTGCATCATTCTCCTACCATTAAGCGGATCAGAGTTTTCTAAATCGGCAGAAGTGCCAGATATTTCTTTATCGGTATCCTCTAATACACCCTTTCGTTCTTCGGACACGCTCACCGTATCCTCAGCAGCATGCCGGACACTTTCAATGCTATCACTAGTAGTTTCATTCATATCAACTAAATCTACTTCGTGGCCAGTTCTAACTTCTAACGTTTGATCTACAGATTCTTCGCTTGATGCCGATTTTGTATCAGCATTGATCGTCCTAGCTTCAGCATCGTTTAGTTTTTCAACATCTGCACCGGATTTGGCTATACTTAGATCATCGACATGTGGAGACCCATCGATAAGAAACTCTTTTTCACGTGCACTGTCACTTCTAACGAGTTCACTCTCAGCTACTGCATCTCTTAAAACAGGCCCTGGTTCGATGAATGCTATTTCGTCAGAATCGCTTTCAGAAATCAAAGGTTCCTTGCCTGCAACCGTTATATCCTCTTCCTCTTTCTGTAATTGAAAATATTTTTTTATTTTAAACTGTATCGCAAATCATTTAATTTTGTTCATAAGGTTCTTACTTGTTCATTCGCTGTTAATGTTTGTATAAAAGAGAATGCTATAGCAATTATTAACAAATTCATTGTCTGAGTTCAAAGGAAGGTAAGTAGCTTAAACAGTGTGAAGATTGTTCAAACGAAGTGAGAAGTAACACGAAAGGCACTTATGGTAGCGCTGCATGACCATGAAATCAATTTGTTAAATGAAGTCCATTTGACGTCCGTAAACAATCCGAATACAGTTCATTTTCTTTTTAATGTAAGTGTATCTGATTAATCTTCATGCTCTTTAGCGATGTATTCAAAATTCAATGATGGTGTTAACTCGAATGTGACCAGGCAATTGTGATTGTAGGTATCAATTGAATTATTATTTTTATCATTACGAATATCGTTCATGTTTGTAGCCATGTTACTTTTGTTTTATAAGATTCTACTGAAACTTTTTTGCCGTAACTTATCGACTTTTGTCAAATCTGTTTTGTTCTTGTAACATACTAAATATGTACTTGTATATAAGTTTTTAAAATATGTGTATCAATAAGGTAATAATTACATTACATATTTTTATACCTCTATTCAGGATTTTATTAAAAGCTTAAACTTTTAAATAATTTATAATGTGTTTAGATAATTAAATTTTCCGGGTATTTTGTTCAAAGTAGAAAAACTGAACATGAATCTTATCAAAAAAGTTTTGATGTTTTTGAAGCATCTCGACGAGTTTTTGAAAGAAGAATTTTATGACATTCTGTCATAGTTCTTTCTAATTTCTGTGCTGTGATTTTTTTTGAGTATATAATTTACAATAGTTTATTAAAAATATTTATTATTTGGATTGGTGGTTGTGATATGAAAGAATGGTAACTATGCGACTTTCTGAAATTAATTGAAAGACGTAAGGTATTTGGTATCGTATGGAATAATTTATTCACTCATTGAAGGTTTCATTTTTAATTGACACTTATTTCGAAATACGTAAATATTAACCAAAGATTTAATTAAAATTACCGCACTTGTGGCTTAGCCTACCTATTGTATGACGTGAACCGATATTGAATTAACTAAAAATATATCAATATACATATTCAGTTTATAGCCATTTGATTAAAGAAAAAAAAATAATTGCAAATAAAGATTGTATAATGCGTTTTACGCATCAGTTTCTTGGTAATTTCTAAGACATTTGCTCGAACGTCTAGTTACATTTTTCACCTAAAATTCTAATTGTCACTCTTAGCAATTTCAACAAAATTGCATAGTTATAACAGTAACATCATTTTCTATAGCCATCGAATAAAACTAAAAAAATAATTGACATTTTTGAAAGCCACATACTGCTGAGTAGTTGTTGTGCTATCTATAAAAATAACTTCTAAAGAATCATTTCGTGTGAAAACAAACAAATGCAAATTACAAAATACAAAAATACAAATACAAAATTAGTTTATTTCAGTAACTTAGCCTATTACAATGTATGAGTATGGTACATCCTTTTAAGCAGTAAAATTGCCTGTGTAATGATGCACCGCTCTTCCATAGCTTGGTTACAATAGGCCAATTGACAATCCGCCATAGATATATTTATAATAATGGATTACAATGATATCAAAACAATTACGTAAACCAACAAAGATTACATACTCCGTATTTTATTTTTGAGGGTATAAACATTAAGTTTTGCATTTTATTTTGCAAATGAAAATGCTGAAAGTAATTATTTCGATTATAACTACAGAGTCAGCCTAGAGCTCGGAGGCCAGACTTCAAGGTTATAGCCAGAAATGAGGCGGAGGAGAATGCCTACGACTATGTCTCGCAGAGGACGAACGTCAAACATACAAGGTAGATATGTCTTGTATAAGTAGTACTAGACTATCACTTGCAATTTTCCTTCCCTGGATCCTCTAAAAACACACCGCATTTAGATTTTAGTACTTCTTGCGACTGCACCTGGAGCTACTGTTTCTCTTGCTCTATTTTATTCATTTTCTGCGGACGGTACTAACAGTCTATCAATAGCCGATCAAGAGAGCTATAGCATAGTACACTTAAGGTTCCAAATAGAGTCAGTACGGGCTATTGATATTTACCCACCTTTTTTTCCGTGGGGGAAATGCCTGACGCATACCCGCTCACTGAAAACTCGTGAGCGGGTTATGTCGGACTCTCCCCTGCCTGCCTGGTAGGCAAGGACCTACCGACTAAAACCCCCACGTGCCCCGTCAACTCTGGCAGTAGGCGTCGCTATTGGACCGAAACGCACACATAGATAGTTGGTGCCAGTTGCCTGTCACATGAGGTAGACCCACCCCTGGAAAGGGAGCTAGGTTGCAACCCCCCCGATCGCTTCGATAACTTCGATATTCACCTACCTGATCCGACCCTATGCCTACCCTGGCTATGAGGTCAGGGTAGACATCTTTAAGCTTTGTTGGTTGTTTACTAATTCTAAAAACATTACCTACAAAAATTCTACTCGCGAAAATATTTCACATGTCGTAATTTAATAGTTTCCGTACCAATCCGCGTTGCGTCTTAGTTCTTTTATTCTTCAATCTCTGCATGCATGCCATCGGTTTATGGATACACTTTTAATTACCCATTGCCTTTTTTCAGCGTCTTTGGCTCCGTAGCCCATATAGTGAAAGGAGCCTTAGGAGGTGGCATTTTAGGAGGACACGTGGCCTACTTGAAAGGTGGGCTGTATGTCTCCCTGTTTCTCAATGTATTTTTTGGATTCTACATGGGCTACTGTCTACACGTAAGTATTATTGACCTTAGTAAAAGTTTAGATGCAGAGAATTGTGCCCATGACCATGGAGTTAATAGGACACTCTTTGTGACTACACTGTGCACACAAAACATTTCTTGTGACCATGAAAAGGAGTGTTTTATTTAAATGAATAGAACGCGTGAAAATATAGGAAATAGGCAGAGAAGTGAAGAAATTTTAAGTCTTCTGAACATGCAACGTAGAAAAACCTCGCAAGGTTAACGTAAAATTTAAATAACACGCTCTTTTTAACCCTTGCGATCATCACCAGCCTTTTGATGTCTCCATACGTAGGGCCAGGCTTTCCTATGCTGGATGAAAAAAGCAGAATCTGCCATTACTCACTGTACAGGTTACTGCAGATTGGCAGCTGCTAACGACTGCGATAGAGTCGGGACCAACGGCCTAGTGTTTGATCCGAAACACGGAGGAGCCCGAGATGCTAAATTTGTGATCATATATCCTACTGTAACTGGTCACTGCGAAAGTTTCTTGATTTCGATCATATAATTATCGCACGCACTAGCCACTGTACCTTCGAGGTCCTCGCTATCATAGATCATGTTTATTTTCTATATTCTTATAATTTTAGCTTCTGGTACAATCGGCTCAGATACTTTACAAGAGAACACAGATTCCGAGCATGTCCTATCCCGATGTTGGCGAAGCCTCTGTTGCGTGTTTCCCGAACCCGAAGGTCGCTAAACTGTCGAAGCTTTTTCGGTAAGTGAAGACTCTAATGGCCTTCATGATGTTGTTATTCATGCATTAAACTGATACAAATTATTATTAAACCCTTTATTGCACAATGGTGCCAATTCTAGCATGATTCTTTAAACCTAAACTTAAATTTGACAGCAGTATATCCTTGTCATTCTCTGTACAGAATGAAAAGGAGAGACTGATGTTAAATTTAGTTTTAAGTTTAGAGAATCATGCCAGAATTGGCACCATTATATATGATATATAAGATATGAGAGCAGAGGAGAGCTTATCTCTAATAAAGATCTCTTCCAACCTAACAAGGTTTTGTGAGAGACAGATGTAAGCGGGTAAAGAGGTGCTTAATATACAGCAATATCTAAAGAAAATTTTACATGCAACAAATCTGCTTGGTTCTGGTACCTATAAGACTGGTTAAGCGAAACGACTTTCTTCACTATCCAAACCAATGCCGTGATCACAATCCCAACGAAATTTTTTTTCTTTGGCTAATAATCATAATCAAAATCATTTATTCAGTTTAGGCTATTACAAGCACTCATGAATGTATAGAAGCTACGCCATCGGTTCGTAAATCTACGGCGGGAGACCTTGTACTGAGAAGAACCGGCAAGAAACTCAGCAAGGGCTGTTTTTTTCTCCCTGTTTTATTATTTACAGAGTCGTCAAATAGAAAAATGACTTCAGAGATGATTCATGAAGTCACCTTTTATTACATAAATATTAAAAATACATTAATTGTTTACCTGCATTTTGATTGCTGTGTCATACAGTATAAATACAAATAGTGTTATTTAAATAATACGCTTGCAACTCCCTACTTTATGTGTATAAGCGGTAAATACCCTAAAATGTCATTTCAGGAGTATGTGTTACCACTTTATTGGCGTAATTAATATATTTTTTTTAATATAAAACTAAATTGGACTTTCTGTACAAAGCATGATAACTGCTGTCAAATTTAGTCTTAGATTTAGACATTATGCCAAAACCCTAAAAAAATAATATATTTGTTCTTTGACTTTCAGTTACATAATAGATGTTGTCATAATTGTGGATTTGTACGGCGCCTGTGCATGCTACCAGCTTATTATAGCGAAGTCTATTAAGCAGCTGGTAGAGGATGTGGAAAGAACAGATATGGAAGGCGTGAACGGTAAGTTTGTACTGCAAATAGTCTCGCTCTACTTACTTACTTACTGTTGCGGCACAACGAGAGTGGATCTTGGCATCCGACACAATATGAAACCATGCTCTGCGATCGCGGGCTAGGTCACGCCATCAGTCTACATCTAAAGACTGCAAGTCCTTCTGCTCCTCTTTGCTCCAGCGGTATTTGGGACGTCCAAGCGGTCGTCGTCCTATCGGTCGCCCCAATTACACGTTGAGCCGTTGATCTCGGCTGCATCTGCAGTCTTTGGCACCCACCAATACGCACTGGGCCTAAGTGGTGGTTCATGGCCCAATCTCCCTTTCCATCAATAGGAAAGGCCTGTGCTCCAGCAGTATCCTGATGATGATGATCAAATTCAATAGGGTATTTGACAGTATTAAAAATAAAGTGCCAATTGTTAGCATCTGTGTTTAGAATGAATATTGGCAGGGGTTTTTACTATTTATACAAAAAAAATATTCATAATTTTATTAAAAACCCACGAAAAAGATAAAAGTTTTTTATCTATTGTGACGTGACCCAAAACGCTTGCGATTGGCGGAGCCTAAAATGATCCTTGTATTGTTTGAAGTTTTAATGACAGTCGTGTGACGTCACACACTAGTAAGATGCCATATTGTCCAGAAAAACGTTTTCGCGGCAACTTGAAAATGAAGTTTTTGATTTCGTTATTTTTACTGAAATACACAACAGAATGATGAATATCCACTTTTTACGGACTTCATAAACATTAGTCAATAACGTGAGATAGTTTTCTAAAACTTGTCAAATACCCTCTTTCGGCTAAAATGAAATACCTAATACTTTTTTCTTTTAGGACATCCGCACTTGAAAGTTTACCTGGCCGCAATGATTATACCGATGGTGTTGATTTGTCTGATCACGCATTTGAAATGGCTCGCACCTTTCTCCGTCGTCGCCAATTTCGTAGTTTGTGAGTTTCATTACCTTATTTTGGAATAAATTTTTTTGAACGGTGGTACTTGTAAAGAACAGAGTTGATGCATTAGTTGTCATAAATCAATCATATAATGTGATGTAGTCTTCACACTTAAAATAGAATTTCAGATAACAATGCACCACCAAATTAACATATTTAGTATACAGGGCGTCCCACGGCTACCCCACATGGAGGGAAAGTATATTAAATATTGAAGATAGGACATTTTACTGAAAGGAGACATCATTTTATTTTTAATAATAACTAGAACTGCATTCACAGATTTTTTTAAATCGCCTGCTTCAACTGGGAATCAAACTCGTGAAATTTCGAAAAAAATAACACGGCATATTTTATGATACCATCGAAAGGGTTAATCATAATTTTTTGCTAAATAACAAAGCATTTTAAATGAACGAAAAGTAATGAAATTTCACATTTTATTTAAAATTATTAACACAGTAATATAAAAACGAAACGGTGCAAGAACAAATTAATAATTTAACTTATCAAATGTTCAATATGTAATCCATTTTGTGGTATGCAAATTCTCACTCTTTTAATAATTTCTCTGCCTGTCGATTTCATTATCTTTGCGTGGTGAATGTTTGTAATACAACGTCTGAGTTCATTTTGTAACTCCCAGTTGTAGCAGACGAGTTAAAAAAAAACTGTGAATGCAGTTCTAATTATTATTAAAAATATAATGATCTTTTCTTTCAGTAAAATATCCTATCTTCAATATTTAATATGCTTTCCCTCCGTGTGAGGTAGCCGTGAGACGCCCTGTATATAATAATATTTCACCCTAATTAGTTATTTGTAATGGGAAAAACTGATCTGGCAATTTCCTTAAAATCAGGATGTTAAGTTAATATTACATATAATCTTGAATAACTTTAATGTTTTTACTGTCAAGCCATTCAATTACTATTCGAAAGTTAATCTCACAGCTGGCTTTCGCTTCATGAAAGTATCAATCATCAGCAAAAGTTAATATTTTGGTTTAAGGTATTGTTTTACTTAGATCACTTAGGCCATTTTTAACATCCCGGAACACTCGTTGGGCCGGGCCGGCCCGAGGGCGTCCCGGTGAAATGGCGCACACACATAGGTTGCCGATCCGAGTAAAAAGAAGGGCATTTTTAACATAAGGTTGGACTAGCTGAGCGTTAGGCGTCGTCATCATCGTACGATAACAGGTTGCGATCCCTGCATCCGCTGAAAATAATCGAACGGGTGTCCTAATACATTGCGCGATGCCGCGCCGTTGCGTTGCCAGAAACTTACCAACGCCATGTTAACAATGACTTTATCGAGATGCATTCCTGTGGAGCAATATTATTCTTCACTTTTTTTGCCCCAAATCCGGCGCATCCCGTAACCTACAACATTTCAATTCGTACAATGAAAATAATCGTACAATAATTGAACAGGGGTATCCTAATAGATAGGGCGTTACTACGCAGGACCAATTACGGCACTCAAAAGAGATTGGCGAGTTTTTTTTTATTCTTATACATATTTCTTTTTTGCGATAGTCAGTTGTCAAAAGATCCATAGGTGTCAATTGAAAACCAGCATCATGTCTCATAAACCTGACAACTTGCTGAATTGACAACCTGTTTTGGCGCAGCCGCGAGACAAGGGCGGATCCAGCTTTGGCGCCAGGGAGGGGTCATATGGTCGTGGTATATTAAATATTGAAAGTACTTAAATAAAATCCCCCTGGGTTTGGTCCATCTGTACCCAGCCCAGGGGGGGTCATGACCCCCATGACCCCCCCCCCCCCCTGGATCCGCCCTTGCCGCGAGATAGCAACAGATTAAATCACCATGAAAAATTGTGTTACTTTTTTGCTGTATTGTTATCCTATTGTTTACGATTATTTTTCTATTTTTCTTGTATTTTTTGTTGCTCAAAATCTTGTATCAACTGTCTCGTTGTTTGTGTCAGAATAAATGTATTTTCATTCTTTCTCTTTTCTTCTATTACAAGATCGTGCGACTAAATCTATTTGTATATTTCATTTCATTTCATTTCTAAATCTATCGTACGATCGTTATTAAAAATGCCTGTGCTCGTTCGACATCAATTGTAATTGGGACACTACTGAAGAAATCGCTATACGACGGGAAGACATCGTGTCACCGTGTGATCGTTGCCAATAAGGACGATACCTTGGAGCATCTGCATCGAATATTGCCTCACACTACTAAACAGGTTTTCCACAAGAAAAATGTAGGTATCCTTCGTTCCTAGTCATGCACTCTTGACACAGTGGTCGTGGTCATGTCTCGGTCGATTCTTGTGCCACTGATGCAATTGCGATGCCTTGCCATGCAGCTCGATGCTTTGCAGAGCGAGAACAATCATTTACAATAGAGTGCGTCGCCGATTTAATAAGGTCTGTCCACCTTGTTGGAGAGCGCCCGCCAGACCTTTTGCCCTCAACTTTCACTTGCACCACAAACCGTTCCATGGAGTTCTCAATGTAGGTATAGCTTTTGCCTAATTTCACATTTTAATTTGTTTCTTTCAGTGTTGGCCATGTTTGCGACTATCTACTACTCGATGCAGGTCAACCCAGGCTTTGCGAATCTGAAGAGCCACTCCGATTATTACGAAACTCTGGAGTTCACCGGGATGATAGTGTTCAGTATGTCGTGTGCGGGAATCGTGATACCAATCGAGAACAATATGGCCGAGCCGAAAAAGTTTCCCCTGGCTTTGTTTTATGGTGATTGATTGCCACTGTCTTAATTTTTTTTAAATACTTGCAGCCCCCACATTACCCCGACAAGGAACTTTACATTTTTCGGGATAAAAAGTCTACATCTCAATCCAGGTTATAATGCACATGTGTGCCAGAATTTCACCCAAATTCGTTCTGCCGTTTGTGAATGATTGAGTTCACATTTATATATTATCGACTTTCGTGGCCGAGTGGTTTGTACGCCGGGTTTCATGGTGTCGCCGACTCGAGAGGTCCCGGTTTCAAATCCCGGTGGGGGCAGATAATAATAATAATAATTAGTGTAGTGCTTACTTTGGAGCTAGGCTAATTGGTGTGAGTGTTGGAAATATTTATTTATTTTTGATTTTCCGGCCAATTTTCCTCTTATTATTCAAGTTCTACTACATCCAGGATTAATTTATGTCTTAAATCAATCCTGAATAGTTTCTCTGCAAACTTATCTATGCAATAGATTTGTAAATTAAAAACCATTACTTAATATGATAAAACGCAAAAAATGAAAATATTTTTCTTAACTCGTGGCAGAAATCTGCCATCTCCACAGACGGGTTTTTTTTGACGTTGGTAGAAATCTGCCATTTACCTGGGATTATTTATTTGCGTATGAGCCCACTTTTTTTTACCTTATGAAATTATTTAATGAGATTGTCTTTAAAAAAAAATCTATGAAAAAAATCCACGAGGACCAGTCAGCGGACGGGACTCAAACCCGCACCCTTCGCTATCCGGGCGAATGCACTAATCATTATGTTACCGCGGCCCTAATGGTCCGTGTAGAATTCTCTTTAGTATTTTTTAAGCTACAAGGTAGCGCCATCCCTTCACATTGTAGGTAAGCAGGTTCTCTGTAATTTATTTAACAGTTTGAATTGAATTCGCAGGAATGTTTTTGATCGTCCTCGGCACTATCATGGTTTCCTTCTTCGGATATGTCGGCTACTTGGATAAGAGCGAATCGCCTATTACTGTCAACTTCCCAATGACTACGTACGTATTTGTTAAAAATGTATGTTTTGCAAAATATAGTAAAATCCTATTATCGAACGTATACGGTTTAAGTATTATCACACTAATATTGTAAAGGCGAAAGTTTGTGAGTGTAATGTTTGTTACTTCTTCACGTCTAAACGGCTGGAGCGATTTTAATAAAATTTGGTATGAAGTTAGCTGACACCCTGGATTAACACATAAGCTACGTTTTACTGCGGGAAAATATCCCTAATAAAGCGCGGGTAACTCCGCGGAGCACAGCTAGTTATTAATATATTTCAGGGTTACAATACAGTAATTGCCATCTAGAGAGCAAATACCGAGACTTACAATTCCAATCCCTCTATGGTATACGCAAGAATAGTATAGAATTAGATTAACATAGTGTTAGAATTTTGCGCAAAGTTTTTCCATTATATGATAACGTATACCGAAACTTGTGCAAGTATCTATATCGCCAAGGAATTGTCTACCATTGCAGAGCTCGAAGGCACAGGTGGTTAGCGCGTTCCCTCTGCGATCCTTTAAGTGAAGCGACTTAAAAAACAACTCGGGGTTACAATACAGTAATTGACATCTAGAAAGCAAATACCGAGACTTACAATTCAAATCCTTCTATGGTATACGCAAGAATAGTGTAGTGTTAGATTAACAAAGTGTTAATATTTTGCGCAAAGTTTTTTTTACTTATAAATCCATTGAGATTTGAGTAAGTACCTGTACAGAACATTAGAATTCTCACGAGAAGAACTAGGATGTCCTTCCACAGCCTCCATCTGATGCGGCCCAAGCTTAGACTCTTCCAGATCACCAGCAATTCTATTATGGCTATGAAGATTGCCAGTTAATTTGTGTTTTTTTGCAGCTTCCCGAAGATTCTGAAAGGTTTGATAGCGGTGATGATCTATGTGACCCACGCCCTGAACTTCTGGCCCCCCTTCAACCTATGCTTCTACTATCTGCAGAAGTGCCACCCTGAAAACAAGGTGTTCTTCTGGGAGTTGGTCTACAGAGCGATCTTTGTCATCGTCATCGCTATAGTTGCTATCGTGTTCCCGAATATCAATTCCCTCATGGGATTCGTAAGTGTTTATTCATCAATTAAAGTATTTAGCTTGAAAGTTGCTTAACTACTATTAACTCTAATTGCTGCACTTTAAGAAATATAAGTTTTATCCGATTCAAAAGTTTAACTTGAGTATAACACGACATATCGTATAAAATTTTCTGCAGTGCTTTACATAATGTTGTTACGACCCGGCAAGATTAAAAAAAAATACTCCTGATGCAATAAAATGTAAATTTCAACACTTCTTTCAGTTGGGATCTGTCTGCTTGTCCAATATGGCGTTCATCTGGCCCTGTCTCATAAACATTTTGGTGTTGTACGAGCGACCTGGCTTCGGGAAGTACAGGTGGAGATTGTGGAGGAACCTTGTTATGATTGCAGTTGGCATATTCCTGTTGATTTGCGGAGGCCTAGTGAACGTTAACGAGATGATTTCAGTGTTCATACAAGCAAATCTCTGAAACGTAGGAATATTCTCGAAGATTTTTATAGTACTATGAGGTAAACACACATTTTTGTCTGTTCCTCTACTCGTCAAGCTAAAAATTTCCGGTAACGCGGCGAAAGATCTATAGAAGCTAAAATTTTCCAGTTACGTGTGGAGAGGATAGATAGATCTATAGAATGATAGAACTCTTTCGATACTCTTTTGTTAGCTTCGTATGAAAAGTCTACAGAAGTTTTGGACTTGATAATAGCGTTTTAATCAAGGCCGGTAGTTGTAGCTATATATGTACTGAAGTTAATATAAACAAATCACAATACTCGAATCTATATTCCATTTTCCTAGAGGAACTTTGAAATCTTAATGTGCTAGTATGCTAGTTTATGAAAATTGTTTATTTTATAATGCTCTTACTTTTCCTTTAGTATTATTATGTACCAATTATTCCATATATTTCTTATTGTTATTACTTGGAAATTGTTGTGATAAAATAGTTTTTAATTTGTTTTTAATAAACATGTATTTTTGATTATTTTGTTTCCTTGTTTATTATGATTGTCTTTTAGATCATTACCGCAAGCACGTTCTAATTAAACTACCGATTGTTTTTATTATTGTAGTGTAGTGCAATTGTCTTTATTGGATGTAGTACAGTTAGGCGATTTCCTCACCGGGTCAAAGCGGGCTCTTTTCGTTTTCGTCTCTTTACGGAATCTGTACAAATTCTTCATTTATTTCCCGTGGTCCTATTGCGTGGATTCTACTGGTAGTAACACAGGTATTTTTTCCATAGTTCTATCAATAGGACTACGGACAAATAATAAGAAAACAAATAAGTATTTATCACTTACTTTCCTGTGTACTTTTGGCTGTTTCTTGAGGGTATAATGGAAAATTAAATATAGCTAACTGGCTGTACCCTTGGCCACAATCCGAACAATTAATAGATCTTTTTTTTATAAAAAAAGGTTTTTTCACCTTTTTCATTACCAGAACCTCTTACTATAGTCATGTATCGTCTTTTGGTACATAATTTTGAAGATAATGAGTTATATCATATGGCAAGATGAACACATGCCGCGTCGGCCGTGTTGCACTATGGTTTCTATGTTCATACAAATATTGTTATTAAATTTCGTAATATTGAACTTGACTAAACTACTTGATGAGGAGCTCGATGGCGCGGGTGGTTAGCGCGTTCGGCTGCGATCGTTGAAGTTGAACCAAAAATCTTCTCTCTCGAGTCCCTCCGTGCTTCGGAAGGCACGTTCAGTCGTTAGCACCCGCCAATCCGCACTGGGCCCGTGTGGTGAGTCATGGCCCAATCTCCCTTTTCTATCCACAAGGAAGGCATGTACCAACATTCGTACTTTGGGGCTAGCCCAAAGTAAGCACTGTAAGCGTGTGTTATGGGATACTAGGGTTACGGATAGAATACATATCATCATCATCACCATCATCAACCCAAGCTCGTCCACTGCTGGACATACTCGTAGGTCTCCCCTAATGCACGCCTCTGCTCCCGATTTTCTGATTTTCACTTGATTTTCGGAGTATCCCTGAAGAACCGCATCAGAAATGATGTAATCCGACAGAGAACCAAAGTCCCCGACATAGCCCACCGAATTAGCAAACTGAAGTGGCAGTGGGCTGGTCACATTAGCCGCAGAACTGACGGCCGTTGGAGCCGGAAAGTTCTTGAGTGGAGACCACGACTCGGTTAAACGTAGTGTAGGACGCCCTGAGGCAAGATGGAATGGATGATCACATTCGTAGGCTGGCTGGAGTGGGCTGGATGAGAATGGTTGAAAAAATACATATACTATATATTAAACATTCATGACTGGAATAAAAATGCTCATATTCATCATACAAACATCTGCCCCCACCGGTATTCGAACTCGGGACTTCTCGAGTTGGCAACACCATCGTACAAACCATTCGGCTACGGAGGTCGTCACTACCACTTGACCATGAAACCAGACCACAGTGTCAAATCACTATTTTCTTCTGTTCTCAGCATTAGCTGTACACATTTGGAAGATGAAAGCAAAGCGCTAAAATATAAAAGCTAATTAAGGACGACAACCTATTACTGACTAACCATGTAGACAGGATAAATAAAACACACCAAGTAAACTCACTTTTATCTAACAACAATACACTTATTATAAAATAACTTATAAAGTAAGTAGGTACTACAAAATACTTTAAGTCACATTCGTTACAATGTACTTATCAATCCCTTGAGATTTGAATAGGTGCCTGCGCAAAAGAGAAGAATTCCCACTAGAAGAACTAGGATGTTCTTCCATAGCCTCCATCTGAAGCGGCCCAAGCCTGGGCTCTCCCAGATCACCAGCAGTTCTATGATGGCGGGAAAGATGAAGCCCATGTTGGACAGACAGAATGCACCAAGCTGGAAGTAGAATTTAATTTCTCAATCAACTTTCTGTGTAAAAACTTTTTGAGAATGCGTTTAGGATTTCGTGAACATTCCCGAAAAATTTGTGAAAATTGAATCAGATGAAGTCAATAAGGTTGTCACCTCAAAAAAGTATGTGTGAGCTTTGTTAATTAATTTTGTTTCATATTAGCTAAGATTTTGGCATAAACATTCTGTTTTTCGCAATTACTTCAACGGTTGAACTAGGTAAGAGGACATTTTTTTTACCTCTGTAGTTTTCCTGCAGATTTTATTCTCTATCGTGTTGGTGGCGAACAAGTTTGTCACAAACTGATGATTGATGATAAGATGATAAGAGACCATCATCGTCAATAGATGCTTGCGATACCAGAGTTCCACTTGCATTCCCTGCTTTGCATTCCCTCACCCCATTATTTGCCCAGTGGAGCTTTGGAACCTTACTCGTCAGCCCAAATACGACCACCAAAAGGACTAACGTTTGTTAGCAACCATTCTGAAATCAAAAATTGCTTTACTATAAACTTACCAATCCCATCAAATTGCCGATATTCGGAAAAGCAATAGCAATGGCAGTAATGAAGATTATAAACGTGGCCCTGTAGACTCTTTCCCAAATCCAGTGCTTCTTATGGTCGTGATGCTTGGAGAGGTAGTGCCATACGAGGTTGAATGGCGCCCAGTAGTTGAGGGCGAAGGTTATGAATATCATAGCGGCCATCAGAACTTTCAACACGGTGGGAAACCTGAAATAGAGTTGCACAAAAATTAAACTATGAAATCCCCACCTTAACACTGAACATACACACCAGTGGCAAGATGTGTGATGATTGATAGGTGGTGACTGATTTTTTGTTAGAAAAAACTGTCTTCTGTCCTTCTATCAACCGCACTGCGATATATCACGTTTTTATCACATCTAACTCTCGAACTCTATAGTACTTTGATAATTGACAAAAAGTGTTCATGATATTTTCATTAGGGTTTCTCCAAAAGTTTTTCGGGCAATATATTAGTGGCGTGGCTCCTTAACAGCTTTTCATTGTAAATAAAGGAAGAAAGGTTACGCTGATATTCTGGATTCTGGAGGAACATAATATGGACAACGTACGACGGACAGCGGAGAGAAGAGAGTTAATTCAATGAAATAAGTGAAATTGGCAGATTAGGCAAAGCCCAATCTGTGGCAGAACTTACGAAAGATGAGAAAAAACCCGTTAAATGATAAAAAGAGCTACATCACAAAAATAAAATGTGTTTCCGGAGAATAAAAATTTCAACTCACGTTTCTGATGGGAAGTTTAGTGTCACCGGTGATATGGAGTTTTCGCCAAACCCCCAATAGCCGAAGAATCCTACTATCATCAGAAATAATACCACGACTGCCATTGCTGAAAAATACATATTTCATTATTATTATCATTAACAAGTGATCCGCCCTCGCTTCGTTTCGGTGTAGACTAAGTTTATAGTTAAATAAAATACTGTTTTATTATCCAAATGCGTGTAATAATGGGTGTTTTTAATGATGACATTGGATGTTTTAATGTTGCCAAAAAATTAACAGTTTCAGAATCTCTAATAGCGGTTTTAAAGCATGGGTGTAGATAAAAAATCTTAGCGTACAGTTAGCGGGAGCAAATTTGTTTGACACTATTTAAAGATTCATTTTTTGTCAATTTATATGAATAAGTACTTATTTTTTCGTTGATAGCTAGTGCAACAATAATGTCAATGCATAAACAATTTTACTTAAAAGAAAGAATCGGAACAGAGAAAGCTTCATACAGCATAGTTATGGTTATACACTACCAAATCAAAAACCATCTCGCTTCAAGCGAGACCAATCATTTATCTATGTTTGGAATAATATCTATATTTTATGCATTTCAACTGGGAAGCTAAGAATAACCTATGCCAAGCTGTGGCTTAGGATATAGATAGAACGATATTAGGAAACTCACCGCAGCAAAGCACCATCGGGAATTGCTTAGGGTTCTTCATATTATTCTCTATCGGCAAGGACACTCCGATCCCCTCCATGCTGAAAACAGCAATGCCGCAGAACTCGAAGAACCCCACCGTGTCCTTCCATCCTGGAGCTTGGCTTATAGGCGGTGCCACTCGCAAAGCGTAAATCACAGTAGCAACAACACAAGCGACTGGAAATAAAATATTTTTGTAAATGTAAGCACAATCAAACTTGTTTGTGATTTTTAACACAGTTGTTGTTAGTAAATTCACAAAATGAAAAATATATTTGCTTCATCATCATCATAAGCCGCTAAATGTCCCCACTGCTGGAGCACGTCTTTTTTAAGGATGATGTAGGGAGAATGTGCATTGAGCCTTGACTCACCATGCATGCTCAGTGCACACTAGTGGTAAATGCTAACGACAACACTGTTGCGGGAGCAATTGCGAAAGTTGCTTATCTTCAACGATCGTACAAGTTATAAACCGAACGCTTGGTTCGTAGACTCGTTTCGGCACTTTGGAGATAGATGGTTAGAAGCTATGCCTATAGCTTCGAACTCCTTCCCCTGTCCTCTACCAAAATTACGACAAATCCCCATCCGCCTTCCATAAATACCCTTTTACATTTAACGTAAAAAAACAAAGCTAACCACTAAAAAACTGAAGACTGATAACAAAACCAAAGTGGAATACCAACCAATAAACCCATTAGCTACTAAAGTGAAAGGTACCAGGTACTTCAGGGTGGTTATGATGCACAGCATCAGTATTGGCAGCAGTGCCAGCACTTAGGCCCGTATTAAAGAAAGATTTCCACTAATGAATCTATTCTTGAGCATAGATAGAAAGGTATGTAGCTATATATAGCACATAGCGACATCCCTTTCTAACTGTATTCAAGTAAAAATCAACACTTAGTTGTCATTCTGTAATACGGGCCTTAGAGTCTGAGGAGGTTCTGCAGGCCTATTTGCTAAAGGTTTTAACAGATGTAAGTGATAATCACCCAGCCATTGATTGAACCACTACTGCTTTTATAATGCCATTCTACTTGCCCTGAAAACCGTCGATGGATATACTACTAAACTACTACTAAGGAGCAAATCTCTTTAGTTTACACACTGTAAATGAAAAAAAAAATGCATTAGGTCAACAGGTCGGTTCTCTCGAACTCGTCGTCTATAAGTTAACTTACCAAGAGACAGTAGATACTTTTTCAGTACCATTTTTATGTAAAAAATAGCTGACCCAGCGAACTTCGTACCGCCATAAAAATAGGGTCTGGTGGTAGAAGGAATATGTATTTACTAATGCTGTATCATAAAAAAATTCAAAAAAAAAATATCTAAAATTGAAAAAAAAATTTAGGGTTGGATTACCCTTAGCATTTAGGGGGATGAAAAATAGATGTCCGATTCTCAGACCTACCCAATATGCACACAAAATTTCATAAAAATCCGTCAAGCCGTTTCGGAGGAGTTTAACCACAAACTCCGCGCCACGAGTATTTTATATATTAGATATATGGCCAATGGGAACACTAAAAGACTAATGATTTAAAAATTAGGACAAGTCCCACTATTTAAACTGACGATTGATAATGATACCAATCAATAAACCCATCAGCTATCAAAGTGAAAGGAGCCAGGTACTTCGAGGTGGTTATAATGCAAAGAAACACATAGATTCTGAAGAGGTTCAGGTTAGTTCTCTCGGACTCGTCGTCTATAAGACTTTTTACCATGAGCTAGTTCATACGCTTTCACCATTATTATCTAACAATATATGCCCAATGGGAACACCAATATACTGATGATGTAAAATTTAGGACCAGTGCCACTTTTTAAACTGTACATTAATGATGAAACCAACCAATGAACCCATCAGCTACCAAAGTGAAAGGCGCCAGGTACTTCAGAGTGGTGATCATGCAAAGCAGCAGTATCGGCACCAGTAGTGCTAGCACGTAGAGCCTGAGGAGGTTCAAGTCTGTTCTTTCAGACTCATCGGATCCGTCTACCAGGAGCATGATGGTCTTCGCTATGATGATCTGGTAGACGCAGCAAGCGCCGAACAGGTCTATGCAGATCGTGACGTCGACTGCGTACCTGAGTATAATCAAAGAAATACACATGAATATCAAATTAAATTATTCTAAACTGTTTCAAGATGGGTTCGTTTTTAACTTATATATATAGAAATTAAAGTCAAAACCTCATCTAAAATGCAGGATTTGATAAATTGAATATTTTTTCATTGTGAAAAGTTGACTTGATCAGATAGATTATATCGTATAAGTACACACATCAAAAAAAGTTTGAGATCACTTACAAAAGCTGATATATTTTCAAAATTTAACATAATCAAGAGAAAATGTTTACGTTATATCTGTAATTATTAATTGCGTTGTATCTTATTTTATTGAAAAATACACTTTCTGAAATTAAAAAATAAAGCTGATTTTATTTTTCTGTATAAAAAAATTAATAATTCAATCCTAAGGCGATTGTTATAGAACTTTGATAGAAATAAAAACCTTTTATTAATAAATTGTTGTTTATCTAATACAAAAAACTCCTCCTCTGGCTCGAACACATGCGGAGATCCTCCTGGACATACTAAGGATAAAGTTATCCAGCATTTCTTGTGGTAACCTGTCCCATTCTTGAACAACAGCTTCCCTGAGCGGCGGCACTGTCTGGGGTGGTGGCTGCCGGTTCCAAACAGCGCGCTTAAGAGCATCCCACGCGTGCTTTATTGGGTTTAAGTCAGGAGAGCCGGCAGGCCAGTCTAACCTTGTGATTTCGTATTCTCTGAGAGCAGCATTGACTCGTTGAACTCGATGTGCGGGCGCATTATCGTCAACCAGTACAAATTGGTGCCCATGGTTTACTCGGAGAGGTCTGACGATTCCATCAATAGCGACTGTTTTGTATCTGTCTGCCGTCATGAAGCCTTGATAAGGGATTAAAGGCGTTCTAGCTCCATACATAATACCACCCCAAACGGACACTGATTTCTCTCCTTGCTGAACCGTTCCAGTGGCCGTTCTTTGCCTTTTAGAGTCTCCAAGCTTCTCCGAACACGGACACGTAGGTTATCTGGATGAGTACTGATACGCGATTCGTCAACGAAGAGGCAGTTTTGCCAAATGTTTTCCTCTTCATCTTCTTCGTTTTGCCGGAGCCTAGCCCACTATAATCTATTTTCTGGCGTTCCCGTGAATTCAAAGGTGCTCGCCAAGACCTCCGTGATCCAGCCTTGTGTGAGCAATTCCGAATGGTCTGAGTGCTTACTTCAAGTCCGGAGGCGGCCCGTATTTCTGCTTTTAGTTTACTGGCGTTTATTGTTGGGTCGCGGGCTACCAGCAACCTGAAATAGCGCTTCTGAGCAGCTGCCAAACAGTTGGGCGACCGTTGCGTGTTCCATCAGCTAAATTACCTATGCCGTGGTACCTCTGCAACGTGGTTACTACACAGGATTGAGATATGGCAACTCTGCGTGCTATTTCTCTCGTAGAATAGCCTTCCTCCCACAAAGTTACAATTCTGGCTCGTAAAATATGTGATAATCCTTGTGGCATTTTTTAAATCACAACTTTCCGTGATTTTTTTTTAAATCGATAATATTGACTAAGTCAGATTTCTAAATGAGTGTCAGCTTGGATTGCATGTCATTTTATATGGAAAAACAATTGAATTATTTTATTGTTTTACGTTGTAATTATAATTTTAAAATTAAGAAACTTATCAGAAAAAGAAACTACAAAGAAGTCTTCTGTAACACAAAAAAACAATCCATTTTTCAAAGTGACCGCTAACTTTTTTTGATGTGTGTATATAATGTTTGTGTTTTAATTAGCATACGTCAAAAGTTTTCTATTTGTGCAAATAAATATTAATCCACCAGTGTCCAGCAGTTGATTTTACCTGAACCATTTGGAATATTTCCTCAGTTTCAAAAATGGTCCGACTGCCAGCGAAGCCTCCGCCACATCTGGATATGACATCTCCGGTATGTGGAGCCTCTTATATAGCACTTGAGCTGATTTAACTAAAAGCTGAAAGCAAAGGATAAAGTCACATTTATTTACAACTTTCACCGTCATCAGCCTATGAATGTCTCCTCTTCTATGTCATAGGGCTTCCTTGCTTATTACTTTGTGTCGCTTATACAATAAAGTCCCAAGCAATATCCAAGAGTTAACCATAAATAAATTCAAAGATAGTATAAAAAAATAAAAAAGCTTATTACAAAGTGTCTGATTATAATACAGACAAAAATGCTTGGGTTTGAACTGTTCCAATCATTCCAACAGGTTTTCTATATTAAATAAATCATGATTGTATTGACGTTGTAAAAACATAATGATTTGTAAATGTTGTTACAATATGCTTTTAATGTTGTTAAGCTTTTTCGCTCGTTTTTCTCCGCAGCTAAAAGTTATGTCCAATAACGGGTGGTAGGGAAAAGAATATTTGGACGATTCAAAAGTGTTGTACTATACATCCAATTTGAATAAAGATATATTGATTTCTGATTTGATTTGTGAGTGCGTTGCGAGTTAGTGGGTACTAACGACAACAGATGTAGTCGGGACAAACAGCTTGATGCGCTTTCCGAGACATGGAGAAACTCGAGATAATAAATATTTAATTCGTATCACCTTTCATTGCGGCAGTTTCTGAAGTTATTTTCTTAAAGAGTTCTTAAAGAAGTGTGTAAAGTGAGTCAATGTTTAGAGCCACTTGTGCCTGAGGATGGTCATCGTCCTGCATTGCATTGTGACTTGCAGATAATAAATTACCAAAACTTAAGTGCCTGGAATTATCAAATAATTTGATAAGGCAAACTATAGTTTAGTAAATGAAGCCTTAATGGCAACTGATTGGTCTAATCTCTATAACTTAAAAAACATTGAGTTGGCCATAGTTGAATTTTGTGATATTGTTAACAAAATTATTTTCAAGTGTATACCTATAATGGAACACTTCTTAAAGACATTGATGATATACTGGACATGGAAGTAACATTTCCATATGATGCGGAGGCTGACGGTTTTCATTAAATCTATCATAGACCGATTTGTTTATTCTTTAATGTGTTTAGTTTTTTTTTAAATAGGTCTCAGCAAATTACTCTAAAGCATTGGACAAGTCCCAGTTCACAAATGTGCTAACCCAGAGGTGTCAGTAATATCGTAAGCAAGATTGCTCATAGGTCTTCTACAAAACTTATCCAGAACTCATTTTTGAGAAGTTGTTATTATCACGCGATGCGAACCAACCAATTTGGAGAAAAATATTTGTCGATCATAGAAAACTTACATGAACACAGTATGTGATATAGAAGCCGAAGATGATTGTGACGACCAGGGAAGTCCACAGGCCAGCCTTCATGTACGCCTCGTGGATACCCAGAATGCCTCCGCCGAGGCATCCTTTTATTAGATGCCCCGTTGATTCAAAGAAACTGAAAAAATATAAGTATTGCTGTTTATTTACTGAAATTATTCAGATTTTTCCGTTCACGATGAAACTGTAGTCACAGCGATCTTATAGATCTATTGCTTAAGTAATTAGAAAAGGCTTATCTGTAACGGTAAGGGGCTAGACAAGTGACCAATAACCAGTTTTTTTCACCTAGCAGCATTTTGGGTCAGAAATGTTTTAATGAACTGGATACCCGGTGCTTTCAGTTTGTCTCAAGTTTTTGATAAGAATAAACCTGAATGAAAATTAAAACGTTGTAATTAGTACTAGTTCTTTTTAAACCTGAAAATCACACCGCTGATGCAGCATCGATAATTTTGAGTTTTAATAGTAAACGCTGCAACTGCTTTCATCTCATTATCCCGTTGCAGGGGCACACTTCTTGCCCATGGATGGAATAGGGTGGGGCTGCGACCCACTGCGCGGGTCCAGTGCGTATTAATGGGTGCTGACGACTACAGATACAGCCCCCCCCCGCCCCCCCTTGGGGGACGATCGCTTCCGATGAAGCCTTAGAGGCCTTCCCGGCCAGAGGCAGCCCCTACGGGTGTTTTTTAGGCAGTACGAGTCTGACATAACCTTGCAGCCGGCTGTAGGGTATCCATGAGGATTTCTCACCCGCTCCCCAGCCTGGGAGGAATCAAATAAAATAAAATACTGATACAGCCACAGCGACCGAGGACCAACAGCTTAAAGTGCCTTCCGAAGCGCGGAGGAGCTCAAGATTATAAGTTTCAAGTTACCCATACAATGACCATGCAGGCCGCACGCTTCATTAATCCTATTGTTTTATATTAATACTAGCTGACCCAGCAAACGTTGTTTTGCCATATAAATGACTGTTATAAATAGCAGTTGGTTATAGAAGGGTGAAAATTCAGGGTTGTATGTATTTTTAATATCAAATTAAAAAAAAAAACAAATAAATGTTAGGGGTGGACAACTCTTATCACTGAGGGATATGAAAAATAGATAGTAGCCGATTCTCAGACCTACTGAATATGCATATAAAATTTCACAAAAATTGGTCAAGCCGTTTCGGAGGAGTATGGTAACTAACATTGTGACACGAGAATTTTATATATAAGATTTTTTTAAACTAAAAGGTTTTAATTTTTATTATTTTTAAAGCATGTAACTGCTTGATGTTTAAATCTAAAGAAAATATAACTAGAAAAAATTCCACGCGGACCAGGCAGCAGACGGGACTCGAACCCGCACCCTTCGCAATCCGGGCGAATGCACTGACCAATTATGCTACCGCGGCCCTCACGGACCGCGTCGAAATTCTTTCTAGCTATTCTTAAGCTGCAAGGCAGCGCCATCTCTTCGCATTATAGGTAAACCCACAATGTCAAATGAATACTTTTACAAGTATTAAACATTTGAAAGAAGAAATAGCAATTATAGTTATAATTTTTATTATTTTTAAAGCATGTAACTGCTTGATGTTTAAATCTAAAGAAAATATAACTAGAAAAAATTCCACGTGGACCAGGCAGCAGACGGGACTCGAACCCGCACCCTTCGCAATCCGGGCGAATGCACTGACCAATTATGCTACCGCGGCCCTCACGGACCGCGTCGAAATTCTTTCTAGCTATTCTTAAGCTGCAAGGCAGCGCCATCTCTTCGCATTATAGGTAAACCCACAATGTCAAATGAATACTTTTACAAGTATTAAACATTTGAAAGAAGAAATAGCAATTATAGTTATAATTTTTATTATTTTTAAAGCATGTAACTGCTTGATGTTTAAATCTAAAGAAAATATAACTAGAAAAAATTCCACGCGGACCAGGCAGCAGACTATTTCTTCTTTCAAATGTTTAATACTTGTAAAAGTATTCATTTGACATTGTGGGTTTACCTATAATGCGAAGAGATGGCGCTGCCTTGCAGCTTAAGAATAGCTAGAGAGAATTTCGACGCGGTCCGTGAGGGCCGCGGTAGCATAATTGGTCAGTGCATTCGCCCGGATTGCGAAGGGTGCGGGTACGAGTCCCGTCTGCTGCCTGGTCCGCGTGGAATTTTTTTCTAGTTATATTTTCTTTAGATTTAAACATCAAGCAGTTACATGCTTTAAAAATAATAAAAATTATAACTATAATTGCTATTTCTTCTTTCAAATGTTTAATACTTGTAAAAGTATTCATTTGACATTGTGGGTTTACCTATAATGCGAAGAGATGGCGCTGCCTTGCAGCTTAAGAATAGCTAGAAAGAATTTCGACGCGGTCCGTGAGGGCCGCGGTAGCATAATTGGTCAGTGCATTCGCCCGGATTGCGAAGGGTGCGGGTTCGAGTCCCGTCTGCTGCCTGGTCCGCGTGGAATTTTTCTAGTTATATTTTCTTTAGATTTAAACATCAAGCAGTTACATGCTTTAAAAATAATAAAAATTATAACTATAATTGCTATTTCTTCTTTCAAATGTTTAATACTTGTAAAAGTATTCATTTGACATTGTGGGTTTACCTATAATGCGAAGAGATGGCGCTGCCTTGCAGCTTAAGAATAGCTAGAAAGAATTTCGACGCGGTCCGTGAGGGCCGCGGTAGCATAATTGGTCAGTGCATTCGCCCGGATTGCGAAGGGTGCGGGTTCGAGTCCCGTCTGCTGCCTGGTCCGCGTGGAATTTTTTCTAGTTATATTTTCTTTAGATCTAAAAGGTTTTGTTGATTTATCAGTAGAAACACTTTCATTTACCGCTGATACATTTCGTATCACTGAACACATTTTAATAGCAACGAAGGCTATTTCAATATCGTGAAATCATTTACTCAACACAGATTGCACTAGTGATTTATCAATCTTATCAGGAAGGCGTAAAGTTTGATTTCGAATGGATCCACGTGGGTACTTGTACATACCTATTAACAATTTAAATTGAGCAGCTTTGGCATTGTATTTTGTCGTTGTATTGAGTGGCGCCTTTTTATTTATCAATCGGTTGATGTTCAAAAGGAAATTAAGAGATTTTCTCATAGTATATTCATACGTTTGACGACCTCCGTGGTAGAGAGCTGTATGTTTCTTTTTATGTTAAACTTGTTTGTCACACAACAAGCGTAGCACGCCTGATGGTAAGCATCCACCATAGCCTATAGATGCTCGCGATATAAAAAAACATCATTATAGCTATTAACCATGTACCTTGTTTTGTTATGGGTCTCCGATATTTCGGCACTGTTGCAAGCGCCATTATCACGGAGTAAGTGTCGCCGCACACGGGCCACCGACCACAACCACAAAACGCCGCCACCGGCATATTTCTTGTAGTTTTCATACATTTTATATGGACTCGCCAAACACGGTACGCCGGTGGCCGCCACACGCTACAAATCGTCGTTGCTCGCTTCTTGTGGCCCGCACCGGCCACTTAATGCGCCGATACAAAACGCCGCCACACGTCACTCGCGCGATTCTCCACCCCTCTTTCCCTTACCTTATTCGGCCGACGTCGCGCGCTTCAGACACTTTAGTAGCCGCTTCTAGCTTCTCGTGGCGGCGTTTGTGGCTGTGGCGTGTGGCCCGTGTGCGGCGGCACTAATAGCCTATAATATTGGTGACCATGAAAGTTTAAAACAATATACCAAAAACATCATTCGCGCTGTTGCCTACCTTGACCCAATTCCGAGTAAGGTGCCAGGGCTCCACGGCCCTCACCGACTCACCGACAGAAACACAACACCACCAAAAGGATGTGCGTGTGGACTGAGTGATCTTTTCAAAAAACTCATCAAATTATAAATACATAGGTAGTATTTTCTTGGATACGCGTTATGGCTTATTCTTCAGGTGTCCAGATTGAGTGATCCAGTTAATTAGTTCTAACTTTCTTTGGTTAGATTTCACAAATTTTATATCTTACCATTAAGTTTTCACAATTATTTCCTTAATCCTCTTATAATTTGGTTGTGGTTGGATGAGTTTTTTTGAAAATATCACTCAGTCCACACGTACATCCAAAAGGTACTGTTACTTTACTCAGATTTTCTGTAACGTGGAGGTTACTTCCCCTAAACGGGCGCTCAAATTCGAGCGGTAAATCCGCGATGCCCAACCTCTCCTAAATGTCCTGGCTTCGATGAGGCAGATGTTTGTGTAATACCACACAGCTCGGAGGAAGATCTTCCTTTTTAGACTTTTCTACAGTAACTCCCCAAGACGGACGCTCGCAGACCTGAGTTAATAGGGTTAAATTTAACCCAATACCTGCACGCGTTCCTGAGATAAATGGTCCGGCTTTACAGACGGATAGATAAACGGCCATATCTAACTATGCTATTTTTAAATTTGATATTACATAGTTATTGATTGACTTGATGATGATTTCACGAATTTGGGGCATGACTGGACTAATTGACATTTTACTGTGACTGAGTTGACGTTTACCGAGTCGCGGTCTCCATTCAAGTACTTTACGTAGTGTAGGACGCCTTGAGACAATACAAGACGGGATGATGACATTTGTAGGCTGGCTGGAGTGAGCTGGATGAGAGTGGCAGCAAAATCGGGAGTAGTGGCGTGCATTAGAGGAAACCTATGTCCAGCAGTGGACGAGCATGGTTTGATGATGATGATGATAAGTTGACATTAATAAACTGCAACAGACTAAAAATATGACGTTACTTATGACAACACCCTTAATTTTCAAACAGGATTTAAAATTCATAGGATGTAAATAAAAATATATAAATATCTGTTCATGTTATCACATAAAACAAGCTTTCAAATGATATGTTCCATCGCAACCAGAACTTAATCTTTTGGAACGTCTCCTTTCAACTCAAGACCTTTACGCGTTTTCGAGATAAAGGGTCTTGGCTTGGCAGACCGGCGGGCTGCAAAGTAATCCTATATATCATCATCAGCCTATTAATGTCCTCACTGCTGGGGTACAGGCTTTCCCTATGGATTGAATTACGAGATTGGGCTACGACCCCCACGACTGTAGATGCAGCCGCGACCAACGGCTTCACGTGCCTTCCAAAACACGGAGGACGTCGAGATAGAAGATTTTTAGTCAGCGATCCAATGACCGACTACTGCGAAAGTTGCTTAACTTCAACGATCGCAGCCGAATGCACTAACCACCCGCGCCATAGAGCACCTCGATATCCTGTTAGGGTTCCGTTTTTTCCTTTTAAGGTATGAAACTCTAAAAGGTACTGAAACTTTCCTCAACGCAGTACTCACTTGGTTGGTTTCTGTGTACACCTTTGAGCTACATAATCGTAGTGCTCTTTGTCCGAGTGCAGTACGTATTTCGGTTCTTGGACTGTCCCGTTGGGTGGAGGCTGTGGTGGCGGCTTCGACTTTGGGTCCTCACCTTCAGCATCAGTGTGGTCAGTCTGAAACAGAATAGGTCTTGTATTCAACTCAGGCAACATTAGCACAGCTACCGCACATTTAGCCACTTAAATAAATATTTCCAACACTCACACCAATTAGCCTAGCCCCAAAGTAAGCACTGTAAGGCTTGTGTTATGGGATCCATGACCTCCGTGGCCGAGTGGTTGGTACGCCGGATTTCATGGTGTCGCCGATTCGAGAGGTCCCGGGTTCGAATCCCGGTGAGGGCAAATGTTTGTGTTATGAATACGAGCATTTGTACTCCAGTCATGGATGTAAAATATTTATTTCTATATAAATATACTTATATATGTATTCTATCCGTTACCCTAGCATCCCATAACACAAGCCTTACAGTACTTACTTTGGGGCTAGACTAATTGGTGTGAGTGTTGGAAATATTTATTTATTATTATTTTAATTTACAGAAAATCTGTGGAAGAAATTTTTTTAGTAACACCTCGAAAAAGTGAGACGGCACGGAAGGGCCGCGACGTAATTTAAAAGGTTTTACTATTTAGGAATACATCATGACTACCTGCGGAGTCACTTTACGTGATGGTCGAAGTATCGTTCCGAGAACCGGAGACTGCAGATAAATTGTACATTTTCCTTACCCGTAGTGAGTAAGTTTAGAGTTCCACAAGGTAAGGAAATAAGTTTAGAAAACTAATAATTAAACGTAATATAATTCTGGGTATATTTTTTAAATTTTGGTGAGGACAATGCAGCAAATCCTCTTAAATCAGGATTTAATCCTCCAAAAACACCAATTCTGGATTGGAAAATTGTTCCTGCGGGTCATCTGCTGCCCGACTAAGGTGTTCGAAAAGTTGAGTTGTTTCAACATCGCCAGTATAGGATCTGTAGAGGCACACGTAGACTCTGGCTTGGGGACCAGGGGGCCATTCGCCTAACGGAAATGCTTTGGAAAACGCTAACGCTTACGATTTCGTTTTCGTTTTCTTATTTCTAGCCGCCTGAGGTTTTCAAATGCCTCGCGCTCTTTTTTTTTCTTTTGCATTGGTAATAACAATATTAAAGAAAATGAGCGTGAGGTATTTGAAAACCTTCGGAGGTCAGAAATAACAAAATGGAATCGAAAACGTTAGCGTTTTCCAAAGCATTTCCGTTAGGCGAATGGCCCCCAGAGTCGACGTGTACCCCCAGCATGGAGAAGGAGGGATCTTCCAAGCAGCGGAGACGGCGACTACTATGCCCTATGCTAGCTATGCCCTATGGTTTCACCCGCATTAAATTAAGGAAAAAGGTTATAGTGAGTCAACTAACCAACCAATGAATTATTAAGGCTGCGAAACGTCAATAAATAAATAAAGTTTCGTGCATTAAACCGTTAAAACTAGTTTTATTTGATGAGTGATGTGCGTGAAAACCTAAGAAACAAATATGAATTATTATATTTTCGAAATCGTTGGAGTTAACCTTAAAGAGTGATATATACGCGCTTTTCACCGGTGTATGTCAGCCTTATAAAAGTTGCAATTAGGGCTCGAAATTATTCGGAATGTTTTGGTTATCAAACTTTCGAATATTTTTTAGTTAAGAGCCCTTTCACATTTTTTGCTAAAATCGTATTGTTTGAGCGCCTTGTTTACCCCCTTAGAAAAGATTTTGACTATTTCCAATAAAAGTAAACAGTAGATTTATTCTTTTTTTTATAAGTTAATGTAGAATATTTGCAAATACTATTTTCCTTTTTTTGTACTGATCGTTCTACTGCAGCTAGTTTACGGAAAAAAACATAATATGCACAACTTCAAACGCCTCAATCTCTCAATAATCTATACTTACTAATAAATCTGTAGAGAGGTCAATTCTGTACATGAAATATATTTTCAAAATAACTATCAGGGGGTGATAAGTGATCGATACTGATGCCAAAAATGCAATCAGTAAAATTTTTGTCTGTCTGTCTGTCTGTCTGTGTGTTTGTTCCTTATAGAAACAAAAACTACTCGACGGATTTTAACGAAACTTGGTACAATTATTCTTCATACTCCTGGGCAGGTTATAGTATACTTTTCATTACGCTACAATCAATAGGAGCAGAGTAGTGAAGGGAAATGTTGGGAAAACGGGAGAAGTTACTCCATTTTTTAAGCTTCCGTCGCGTGTGCAGCCTTAATGGTTAAAGTTACATAGAAATCATGTATGACGGAAATATTCTACATAAAATTTTCTAGAAAATATCCCGCAACAGCGTATGTCTATCTTTTATGGTTGACTCACAATAACACGTGTAACTCCTGATAGCTTAGCAGTTCGGAGCATTCTGATTATATTTGTTTACTCTTACGTTTATAATACTCTCACTCATCCATAATTTAAAAAAGTTAACATTATTACCTATTCAATAAAAAAAGAATCATAGAAATCGGTATAGAAACACCGAACTTAAACATGAAATAAGCCATCGCGCCGTCGCACGTGAATACTGAATCATGCTTTAAGGATTATTTTTGTGTAACGGCTGCCGCGCTCGACACCGATACGGATGCACATCAGGATGCATCCGTCCTCTAAGCGCACTATGCAGTAGTATTTACTAAGGCAGCGCTGCATCATCCCCTTCTCAGGGGTTGATCGCATCAGATGAAGCCTGTAAGGCCATAGGCACCCCCCACGGGTGTGTTTCAGTCAGTAAGAGTCTGACATAACTCTACAGCCGGCTGTAGGGTATCCATGAGGATTTCACACCCGCTCCCCCGTCTGGGAGGAAACAAAAAAAAGAGAAAGCGAGCTTCATTCAATATTTGGCTGTTGCTGCGTTTAGAGCGTTCGACCTTATTGACAGACAATAATTGATATTGAGAAACCGTGCTTATCTATACTTATAATAAATCTGTAGAGATGTCAATTCTGTACATGAAATATATTTTTAAAATAACTATCAGGGGGTGATTAGTGATCGATACTGATGCCAAAAATGCAATCAGTAAATTTTTTGTCTGTCTGTCTGTCTGTCTGTGTGTATGTTCTTTATAGAAACAAAAACTACTCGACGGATTTTAACGAAACTTGGTACAATTATTCTTCATACTCCTGGGCAGGTTGAAGTATACTTTTCATCACGCTACAATCAGTAGGAGCAGAGTAGTGAAGGGAAATGTTGGGAAAACGGGAGAAGTTACTCCATTTTATAAGCTTCCGTCGCGTGTGCAGCCTTAATGATTAAAGTTACATAGAAATCATGTATGACGGAAATATTCTACATAAAATTGTCTAAAAAGTATCCCGCAACAGCATATGTCTATCTTTTATGGTTGACTCACAATAACACGTGTAACTCCCGATAGCTTAGCAGTTCGGAGCATTCTGATCATATTTGTTTACTCTTACGTTTATAATACTCGGTATAGAAACACCAAACTTATACATGAAATAAGCCATCGCGCCGTCGCACGTGAATACTGAATCATGCTATAAGGATTATTTTTGTGTAACGGTTGCCGCGCTCGACACGGGTCGCGGCAGCGGTAGGGTATCAAAGGTCCGAGAGCGAGCTGTCTAAATCTGTTTTCTGCGTCGCTCCCCCCCCTGGGGGACGATCGCTTCCGATGAAGCCTTAGAGGCCTTCCCGGCCAGAGGCAGCCCCTACGGGTGTTTTTTAGTCAGTACGAGTCTGACATAACCTTGCAGCCGGCTGTAGGGTATCCATGAGGATTTCTCATCGGCTCCCCCGCCTGGGAGACCGAAACCGTGCTTATCAGCGCGACTTTTAGTCTTTAAATAGTTTATTTGAATTTCTTTTGTTGTTATTTTGTAAAACAGGTATTAGTTGTTTTGGTAGTGTTTAAATATTCGTTCAAATTAAAAATTATTAAGCGTAGGTACTTTTATTAATTAAAGTAGTTATAAGTATTTATTTTTAAGTGAAGGAGGTATAGGTAGATAGTATTGCACAGGCGTTTCAGCTTTATTTTCATTTCTTTTTTGTTGTGAGTTGTATATATTTCTGGTTATAATTCTATAAGAATATTTTAGTTCAAATAGTCACTTAGATTTTATGTGTAAGGTAGCTAAAGTTAGGACCACGTATTAGTTGTTTTGGTAGTGTTTAAATATTCGTTCAAAGTGTAATTTAATCATATAGGATGAATGTACGATGGCCCATCGAAAAGGAGTAGATCAGAAGCGGTAGACAGAACTTTAAGAGATATAAGACAAAATGATCGACCCATGGGCGGTATCACAGTTTTATTTTGTGGTGATTTCCGACAAACCTTAACGGTAATACCACGGGGAACCCGAGCTGCTGAGGTTAGGACTTGCCTGAAAAGCTCTTATTTGTGGCGTGATATACAATCGGTGCATTCGACTATAAACATGCGAGTGAGAACTGTAGATAACGCGGATGATCGTGAATTTTCTGATATATTATTAAAGAAAATACCTTCACCAAAGATACCTATCCACTGCTACACCAAGGAAAACTTATTCTGACGCCTGAGTTATGTTGTATAGTGCAATCCCAACAACATCTTACATCGTCAGTTTACGGTGACGTAACAAATATATTAAATAAGAACAATTCTTGGCTATGCGAAAGGTTCATTTTAACTCCTCGCAATGACCAGGCATCTGAGATTAATAATAAAATACTGTCGAATATCCAGGGGGAAAGCAAAGTTTATAGTTCAATAAATAGAATGGCCGATGAACAAGAAGCCACTAATTACCCGATAGAATTTTTAAATTCTTTAAATATGCCCGTACTTCCTTCTCATGAAATTTGTTTAAAAATTGGCATTCCGATTATTCTGCTCCGAAATTTAAGACCACCACAAATTTGCAATGGAACTCGGCTTAAAGTAACCCAGTTTCAACAAAATGTAATCGAGGCTCAAATTTTAATAGGTTGCGGTGCAGGAGAAACCATCTTTATTCCCAGAATTCCCATAATACCAAATAATTTTCCATTCCAATTTAAAAGAACGCAATTCCCAGTATCGGTGTGTTATGCAATGACAATAAATAA